ATCAATCTACCACATGACCCAGCAATTCCACTCTTAGGCATATATCCAAAGGAGGCAAATTCATACAACAAGGGCATCTGCTCCACTATTCATAGCTGCATTATTTGTAATAGCCAGAGCCTGGAAGCAACCTAGATTCCCCTCAACTGAACAGTGGATAGAGAAAATGTGGTACATTTACTCAATGGAGTATTACTCAGCAGAAAAAAACAATGGAATCTTGAAATTCGCAGGGAAATGGATAGCACTGGAAGAAACCATCCTGGGTGAGGTAACCCAGTCACAAAAAGACAAACATGGTATGTACTCACTCATATATGGATTTTAGACCTGGATCAAGATAGTGCCAGTCTGCACTTCCACTGACAGAGAGTCTGGGAAACAGGAAAGAACCTAAAAGATATGCATAGTACCCAAGAGAAGAGAAATGAGGCAAGATCCTCTGAACAGATGGGGAACACGGCGAGGTGTGTGTGGGGGAGTGGGAGCTTGGAAGAAGAGAGGGGGAGAAGAGGAAGAGAGAGTAGGTCATGGGGGAACAAGAAGGTTGAGTGGAGGGGGTAAAATAGGGAGAAGAGGGAATCATAGGTTAGAAGACAGATCAGGCACCATTGTGACCTCTAGTGATCTAAAGGGATGACACCAATTGGCAAGCTAAGCAATAGTGGAGAAACCACCTCGAATGCCCATTCCTGGTAATGAACTTGATGTCTATAACCATCCGGGAGCCTTCGTCCAGTGACTGATGGAAGCAGAGGCAAACACCCACAGTGAAACACTGAACTAAACCCAAGGAACCCAGTGACAGAGAGAGAGGAACGATGAGCAAATTGGCAAAGAATGGGCTGGCAAAACCAGCAGAGACAGCTGATCTGAACAGGGGAGAGCTCTTGGACCCCAGACTGACAGCTGGGAGGCCAGCATGGGACTGATCCAGACCCCCCCGAATGTGAGTGTCAGGAGGCCTGGGCAACCTATGGGGCCCTGAGCAGTGGATCAGTGTTTATCCCTGGAATACAAACAGACATCATGTGTCCATAGCACAAAGAGGGATGCTCTCTCAGCCTGGACTCTTAGAGGAGTGCCTGGACCCTACCCTGAGTGAAATGACAGACTCTAGATATCCCCCATGTGGAAGTTATTGGCAAAAGGGTGGGAGGCTGGGGGGAGATGGGGGCTGGGGGGGAGGGGAGGGAGGGAACTGTGATTGACATGTAAAACAAGCTATTTAAAATTAAAATAAAAAATCTAAAAATAAGAAAGTTATGGGAGACAACATAGTTATCTCCTCCTAGGGAAAGGGCTTGGTCCTGATGCAGAAACGGAAGTAGTGATGAATTTGGATCCTTTGTGATCTCAATGCTGTGACTTCAGGAACCTTCGGCATTCTCACTACCCAGGCCAGTGTGAGGAAATAAGTGAGGGCATTCCCTACTGAGATGAGGCCTGCTCGCTTTGGGTGGTGTTCAAGACCCATTCAACAGTCAAGAAACCCTTCCATTGGCCATGCCAGAGGAGCATGGAGTAGCAATTGAAGTTCCAGGTGTCAGATCACCAGAAGGAAAATCTCTGATGGGCCAATCTTGTTTAGGCAAGGCCACAGGACTGCAGACCCTGGAATGTCTTTTGCTTCTGCTGTGCCTTTACCTGTTTGCTGCAGCTCTTTCTCCGGTATCAAGCATGGTGTGTGTGGACATGGGGAGAGCACCACCGCCTGTACTATAGTGTGTTTATCTCTTGGACACATCCCCTTCTACTGGACATGTTTACCTGTGGATTGTCAAGAAGATGACCCCTCCCTGACTCTGCTTCTAATCTGATAATAATAATGACAGCCTACACAGAGTTTTGGTGAATAATAATAAAGTCAAGGATATGTTTCCCAGCTAAGGCCTGTGAGTCCCACCTTAGGAGCTGCTCAGTTAACTATGCAAAGGAAAGCACCTGACCTGGAGCCAGGCCGGCTCTGATTCTCTTAATGCTGAAAAGAGGCTGTCGCGTACCATTGGCTAAACCAAAGCTTCACAATGACTGCTTGTTAGACCAGATGCCTTGCTAATAGTTTTAGGATAAATAACCCCATAAGACAAACTAACATTCACAAGGGCACCTAACTGAATTGTTTGACTCATTAGGCAAGGGTCAAAAATACAAAATGGTCTGACTGTTGCTAGCTCCCTTTGCTAGGTCTGGTTAAACATCAAAGGTCTGGCTAAACATGATGATTAAATTCTTATACCTGATTATTTGTTTTTGTTGTTATTGTTTCCTATTTTTTGTTTTTTGTTTTTGTTTTGGGACAGGGTTTCTCTGTAGCCTTGGAGTCATTTCTGGAACTCACTCTGTAGACCAAGCTGTCCTCGAATGACTGACTCCTATTCATATACAAAAGTTTAGATTTGTGATTCTATTAAGATTCCTTGTAAGATACCTTTCAAGATAAGTAATAAATTGGTCCTTTGTAACTGCAGAATGCAGCCTGCCAGTAAAAGATCTGACGAGAATAGCTTGCTGGTCCACACAGTTAATCTATAACACGTTTCTTGGTCATGAATGTTTGTGGTTCTTGGAACAATTTGTCTTTCATCTGCAATACATAAAATGTTTAATAATGTAAGGGAGATGAAAAACATGTTTTTTTAACCTGTACTCATTATAGTCATTCACTTGAAAAGCAGAATGGAAGCATATTGCAATTCCTATACTGCCTGAAAAACTGTTGGGATATATAAGCTGTATGAAATAAAGTATAGAGTAGAAAAAAACAGAGAAAGAACCCAGAAAGAACATGAGAGTACAGAGAATAAAGAAGAAACCATCAAGAGAGTGTATGAGTATGTTTTGCCCCTAAAACTCATCAGATAGGAAAGTCCAGTTTACAAAGACTCCACCCATTCCTCTCAAAGCCTTGTGGTGCTGGATGGTGACCCCACAGACAGCAGTAAAACTCAGATACTATCACCATCATTTTGGACCTGGATGCAGGTGGTAGTTTGAAAGAAGTGGCCCCCAAAAGGTGTGACTTTGATGGAGCAGGTGTGTCACTGTGGGGATGGCTTTTGGGGTCTCCTATGCTCAAGCTACTCCCAGTGAGATAGTCTACTTTCTGTTGCCTGCTAATCAAGATGCAGCCAGTGCCGGGCCTGCCTGCATGCTGCCATGCTCCCCACCAGGATGACAATGGACTGAACCTCTGAAAGTTTAAATCAACCAATTAAATGTTTTTCTTTTATGAGAGTTGCCATGTTCATGGTGTCACCTCAAAGCAATTGAAACCCTAACAAAGACAACCCAGAAACAATATCTGTAAGTATAAATAAAGCTCTTGTGAACAACTTTCCTGATGTCTTTCAAACAGGGTCTTGTCTTCCTCTCTCCCAAGCCATTTGCAAGTCAGAGCATAAAAGATCACTAGGAAGCAATGAGATATTAAAATGAAATTGATGCAAAAGAACATACACAACTGAGTGTTACCTTTAGACATCATTAGCTCAGGGAGCTGTGCACATTCTTGAACACAAAACCACCAGAACTCCACAGCAGCATGCCCAGGATCAGCCTAGGAAGGAAGCTCCCAAGTCATACAAAATGCCAACACTGCCGGGCAATCATGGCACACGCCTTTAATCCCAGCACTCAGGAGGCAGAGGCAGGCGGATCTCTGTGATTTCCAGGGTGGGCTGGACCGACAGCCTCCAAAACAATACAGAGAAACCCTGTCTTGTTAAAACCAAAAAAAAAAGCCAACTTTATGATTAACTTTATTTCCAACAATGAAAGTTCCTCTTTGTTTGGCCCCGGAGAGTACCAGTTGTGTCTCCAAGTCACTGCTTGTGCAACCTATTCAAAATCAAAACAATGCCACTTTTTCAGATTAATTGATCATTTAATAATGCACACAAAGATGGACATGGGGGATTTGAATGACAGAAACCAGATAAAGGTCACTAGCTGTCTCCTCTATGCCTATCCTAACCCAGTGCTCAGAACACACAGTTGTCATCTGTACAGCTTTGCAGATTCTGTTGACTAAACCGATTTTTCATTACAAACGTTTGAACAGTTATAAACTTGTCCTCTATTGGGGGTTGAAATGGAAAATATTGACTCAGCATCCAGAGCCAAGCCACTATCAATGACCCAGTGTGACTACTTCAATAGCCAGTGGTGATTCTGATCTCAAAGTTATTTCTCTAGGTACAGGACTTAGAGGCAGTGACAAGTTTCAATTACAGATTTTGTTGCATTTGATATAGTGAGCAAGCTACTTAAAAATAGACCAGGAACAGGGTAACAAGTTTTCCTACTTAAAACAACACTCTGCTCAGACTATGACTTGAGTGCAGCTTTATGCTGCTGTGCTGAGGAAAAATGACTAAGAAAGTATTTCCTAAGAATTCACGTAGCTGTCTGCTCTTCCAGAGGACCAGGTTCCATTCTGACCCCATCACAGGTTACACTTGCCTGTGCCTCAAGTCGTCTTGCCCACTCTGGCACTGATGCATTGATGCAGATGTGTGGAGGCAAAATGGAAACAAAAGCAAAACACTGTAGATTTGGAGCTGAAAATAAGGAATTTAAAAATAAAACAGATATCTTAATGCACGTTAAAATGCCTCAAAAACCAGTATAGATACAGAGAGTGACAGGGACAAATAGGAAAGAAGTGATGGCAGCAAACACACAGGGATGTGGCTGTCACTGTAACTAGAGTTTCATAACGTGGGATGACTTTGTCAAGGGCCTATAGGAACAGGGGGCATTGCTCAGCTTGGTTTTGAATATTACACAAAAATATTCAGCTAGTTGTGTGTAGATGAGAATGCAGGCAGAGTCCATGTGTACATGTTGACAGGCAATGGCCACATGTAGGTGAGGATGTCGGTGTTAGCTAAGTGTACGTGAAAACCTATGCCGTACTAACGAGTTACAGTGTTGATTTTTTCAATATATAACCATTTTGTCCCAGAGACAACATGTGAGAGTAAACACAGAGAAGATTTGCATTGAAAAATCATTTAATGGTATTTGTAGTTATTCACAAAGCAGTTAGTTTTGCTGACCCAAGCTCCTCTGTCTCAGAGTCAGTTCATATGCATGAAGCCACTTTAAGAAAGTTAAGAGCTAGCACACTCACTAATCTGTCCTGAATACCTCATGATAAGCTAGAGGCACAGAAACATTCTATCAAGGGTTAAAACTGACTTTGACATGAGGTGAGAATTTACTTTTCAAGCAGTACAAACGGGACATCCTAAGCACATACTTTTTTGTAAGGTCACACATTCATGACAACAAGTTTCTTTGTTGAGGGTCTCAGTTCTATCCACTCAGAGTTCTGTTTCCTCATAAACACACCTTGCCCCACACAGTGGCTGTTCTAACTGTCTTGGGGCTGAACCCAAACACAAGGCCTGGGATCTCACACAGCTGCCATTTTACTCAAGATCTACTGCCTCCTGTAAATGTCTGCTATATGTCTATCCAGCCAGGGGGAGATGGAGATTAATTCAGATGAAACTGAATGTGAATTACATCATAGGTGAAGAACAGATGGATAGAGATGTGTGTGACGGTCAAAGTGCTGGACCACTGTCACCAGCATCTGCTGCCTTGGTTAACCAAAAATGATGGCTTTGTTTAGAACAATGAAGCCATTAGTCAGCATGAAGCCTCTTAGGAAACAGTCTCCATTTTACTCCTGTTTCTGTTTAAATCCTGCTTGAATGAAGGGGAATCCAAGGACATGTGGCCTTTCCCATTTGTACTTCTATGGCGATACAGAGACAGAACCAGCTGAAGCAGAGGCACAGCGTTAGACTCCGCAGTCCCGAACATACTGGCTGAGATCTCGGTTTTGACAGTGGGCTCTCCATGCCACCCTGAGGAGGAAAGTGAGACAGGAGAGAAATGGTTAAAATTGTCTCCTCTGTCACACACATGCTCAAACACTTAGAGGGAAACACTGTAACAGTGACACTAATGGAAATTGGTTCCTGGGCCAATATCTACTGTGAACCACAGGCTATAGCATCACCCAGACACTGCTACTGACTGGTGGGACCTTTGTCTACATGACTGTGTGATCCTCTTCAAACCATGAGCAGAACACATCGTGGTCAGTGTCAATGTGACACCTTGTGCACACAATAGTGGACTGATCCTACAAATAGTCTGGAGGCCTGACAAGGAAGGAGTCATGAGTGGGGATTCTCACACTCTGGAAAAATCCCTAAGAGTAATGATGCAGTGAAAGGCCCAGCTGAACCTTCAGACCCCAGAAGGCCTTAGAAAGACTCACTGCATACATCAGCACAACCAGCAGTTTCCCCTTCCCTAGCTCCAACATACCATGCTCTAATGCCTTGTGGATCCCTCACAACCCTCTTTGCACATTGTATGGCTTGAGTGATGTCATCCTGGAGCAAAGCTGAAAGACAGGGGTGAGGAATGACAAGGACTGTTATAAAACCCACTTTTGCTTCAAATCCAGCCAGCTTTCTTCTGTAATACTGAGCAGTGAACACAAAAAATCATTTTCCAAGTTCCCATGCCTCTGTGATTATTGGAGACAGCCTGTATTGATTCTATCCAGTTGACATGGTGTAAGCCATTTTATTTCTCATTTGTAGAGTCCCTGGGGGTTGGGACATGTTAAGTGTTCTTAGGATTCCAGCTCTGATACAAAGTAAAGAACCCACTGAAGTGATGAGAGTCACTGGAGGCTGTGGAACCCTCAGCTACCATGACTGAAGGTCCTCTTTGTTCTCACACTGGAAACAGAACACACTGGAACTGTCACCTGGGTCTACCAGTGAAAATTTATCCCAAAGAAAAACAGGGGCTGGACAGATGACTCAGTGGCTAAGAGCTCTGGATGCTCTTCCAGAGGACCTGATTCCCAGCATCCACGTGAGAGTTCTCAACTGTCTGTAACTCCAGTTCCAGGACATGAAGCCCTCTTCTCACTTTCACAGGTATGAGGCACACGTGTGGTGCACAGTCCTATATGCAGGCAAAATACCACACACAAAGATAAACAGATACTGTAAGAAAGAGAGCAATGCACAAGCCTGTGAATAAAGCTCTTCCTGACGATTTGTAACCAGGAAAATAGAAGCAGCAAGAGCTTTAAGACTGAAGAAGGAGCCAGGTGTTGGTAGCACACACCTTTAATCCTAGCACTCAGGAGGTATCTCTGTGAACTCAAGACCAGCCTGCTCTACAGTGTGAGTGCCAGGGCAGGCTCCAAAGCTACAGAGAAACCCTGTCATGAAAAACAAAAACAAACAAGCAAAATCAATCAAACAAACAAAAAGACTGAAGAAGAAAGTGTGGTGTTTTTAAGTTACAAAATTTTGGTATTGTAATTTTATTCACTCTTTCATGTGAGAATTCAGGTTAGTATATATTACTATGGATGTGGTTTCCAGTAATAACCATTTCATGAAACTGTGCAAGCATAATTTAATTTGTGCAAAAATGTAAAGTCTGTGCATGTTTTTATATGAGTACACATGTGCATGATATAACTTTACATGGACCTACAGCACAGATTTATAGACTAGAAGAGCAATGTCCAAAAGTTCCCAGTTCCATTAACATTCTGAGCACTCAACAGGGAGTGATGCTTCTCTTCCCTGTAGCTCTACTGCTTTCCAATGACCAGGTAAGTGTACAAAATACCTTACAGATAGGCCAAGTGGGCTACAATCTCCTTTCTCCTGAAAATTGTAACAAACAAGTGTAACAGAGTAGGAATGAATAGTGCATTGTTTAGACTGCTTGACTAAAATGTAGCAAGTGTTGGGTTCAGTTGCCACAATGGAGAAATAGAACAGTACTGACCAATTTTATTCATTCACTATATTACTTTATCATGACATGAGTTCAATTTTACCATCCCAGCTCTCAATCCTAATATGAGCCTTGTTTGTGTCTTGTTAATAAGTTTCATCTTAAATACATATATCTATGTTATTTTGTTAAATAAAATAATGTCTAGCTAAGAATTAGATTGTTTGGACATGCAAACTAAAGACTTTAAAAGCAAATTTTGATATTAGAAATTTAATCTAAGATCTCTCAACACAAAGAGTGCATCATACATGCACATAGAAGCCAGTTGAACAAAATGTCAGTTATTTAATGGTACCCTGTCATATAGTCTTCACTGTAGTATTATTTTCATTTGTATGTTAGCAATCTTTACAATAAAAATTATTCGGTGAACAATGACCATGGAACAACCATAACTACCAGTAAGTAAACTGCTAGAATGGAAATCTTCAGGACAAACCACTAAGAAGTCCACTTACAATTAATTAGTACATATTCCAGAAACTTTCATATGTTATAAAATATCAACTTGTTACACGTTTATTTTTGTTAATTTTAATTATTTGTCCATATTCAGGTGTGTGTGTATATGAGTATAGGTTAAAAAATCCCACCAAGTTTTAATGGTACCAGCTCTTTATTTTCTATTAATTTAAATGTGTATCTCTGTGTGGTGGTAATGTGCACCAGTGAACCTGCACTTGCATTTGTGTATATAGAAGTCAGAGGGCAGCCCCATGATCTCTTCCCTAGAAGTAGTCCACGTTGATTCTGAGACAGGTCTGCCACTGGAACTGACTTACAGATTAGGCTATGCTGCTTGACCAGGCAGCTCCATGGACCTACCTACATCAGACTGCCCAGTGCAGGTCTTACAAATGCATGCCCTGCCCTATATGAAATGACAGACTATGGACACCCCCATGGAGGGCCTCACCCTCCCTGGGGGAATGAGGGGATAACGGGGGAGGGGATTGGGGGAGGGAACGGGAGGAGGGGAGGGAATGGGAGAGGGACCTGGAACTGACTTGTGAAGCAACCTCGTTTCTTATCTAAATTTAAACTGGAAAATAAAATAAAATAAAATAAAACAAATGCATGCTACCATGGTGCATGCTACCATAGTGCTTGCTACCATGCATCATGCTACCATGGGTGCTGAGGGTCAAACCTTGGCCTAGGAGACTCCTCTGTTTGAGCTATCTTGCCAGGCTCTGTTTATATTGTTTATTCATTGAGTGAATTTTGGAGACAGAACAAAGGGCCCTCTCTTTGACAGGCACGGACTCTCTGCTCTTGTACATAAGAGAAGGTGGGTTATTGGCTGTCCCACTAAGCCTGCCTTGTCTTACCGCTGCAGGGTATCCCACAGGCATTCACTGCTCTCGGGGTTTTGCCATCATTACACCAGTATTTGCTGTTGATCTGAAATATCCCATAGTCGGTGCTTCGCGATCCAGGGTTGTAGTTTATAGCTCGTGTGTTATAATTACTCTCGTGCTGAGCCAAACATACCCCTAGAAAGAAAAACAATATTCATAATAAGCAACAACAGTAAATGATTCACACTAGATACCAAAATTAGCTCCATGAGATGGTTGTATTTTATGTCATTTACTTTGTAGGTACAACCATATGATTAAATAATAAAATGAGCTACCACTAGTTCAGGCTGGTTGTGTTACTCTGGGTAGTCTCTGGTCTCAACTTATCCTTCTACCTTTGCCTTTCACATAGGTGGAACTGCTGGAACTAGTCAGCAAGTGATTTTCAAGTGCCCCAAAGGGAATTTCTTCAAGGACAAACAAAATTGCAATGAGAACAAAATGGATACGGTACTTTTAAAATACTCAGATAGATGAACCTGTCATACTCATAATCGTGCTCACTTTTATTCTCAACAGTCGGTACACAGGGCCTGGTGAATCTGTGTGGTTTTGAGACCAGCCCAGTCTACATAGCAAGTTCCAGGCCAACCAGTGCTATGCAGTGAAACAATGTACCCTCCTCACTGCCAAAGTAAAATAGCTATTCTTCTATTATTTTTCCCTGCCCTATTTATCCTCAGGATGCCTCTTCCTAAAACAGAAACACAAGTAGTGTTTAGCCAGATTTTATAAATTAATATCAAATACATATGCTGATAAAAAATGTCCCTATTAGAAAAGTAAGGATTTCCTCAGAGAGATATTCTTCTGACCAAGCTGAATTTTCATGCTAATTTAGAATTCTTTTTTCTTCTTGTGTCACTAAGTATCCCTCTTTGTCACAGAAGATGTAATCTCCTGCCTCAGCATCCCACTGCTTGGATTCCAGTAGTGTGTACCATCACAAATGGCTGACATGAATCTTGAAAGGGATAGCATTAGAACAGGAAAGACTATTCAGCAATCCACCCATCCTTCCACTCACTCACTCATCCATCCATCCATCCTCCATCCATACATCCGTTCATGCATCCTCCATCCATCCTCCATCCATTTATCCTCCATCCATCCTCCATCCATCCATCCTTCCATCCATCCATCCATGCACACATACATCTCTGCATACACTTGTCCATGGACAGTTACTCCATGAGTACTAACTGCCTTAATTGAATTTGGAAAGCACACTAGTTACAATGATGTAGGTGGAGTCAGCCATGAATAACTGTTCCTTATTCATGTTTTCCATTGTGCAGAATGAAAGTCCGTCCCAGAGTGAAGAAGCATACCAAATCATTTATATTCAGATTCAGCAGACGCCAACTGAGCAGAAAGCAGGGGGGAATAGGACCCCTATGCCCTATGTAGGAAGTTCAAAACATTTGAAAAGTTTTATCTCAAAAAGTCTATGCCATAGGAAGAGAATTGAAGAGAGATACCAGTCACTCCAAGCTCTCAGAACTCAAGTCCTTCTGTCTTTTCTCTGACCCCTGTGGACTGTTGAGTCTTTAGGAACTGGAAAACCCATTGACACTCCAAGAGCACCTCTGGTCCTATTGCCTGAGCCTGGCACAGATGCCCCCTCCCATGTCCTCACCCCAGTATCTCTGAGGAAGAAGACAAACACTGAGGTTTTTAATCAAACCAAGTCAAACACACGAGAATCCTAGACACTTATTGACTCCAGCTCCCTCTGCCCACTCTTTCCTCCTCGTACCTGTTCTGCAGGGGGTGCTTATCTGGAAGGATCAAGAAGAGGAGACTTACAGTTTGCCAGGCTGACTCCCCTGTAGCCATCCATTCCACGACTTTTTAGAGTTCTGGCCAACTCACAGCGCTCATAGACCTTGGCCTGGACAGTGACAGACAGCAAGAGGAACCCCAGGGTGAGGAGAGCCTTCATGTTGACCTGGAAGCTGGATCTGCTGCAGGCTGACGAGAGAAAGCCTGCCTGGTATTTAAGCATCCTCCAAGTTCCTCCTTCCTCTCGAAGCTGTAGCTTTCAACTTTGGAGCTGTGTGCAAAGAGGAAGTTCCTACAATTCTGCTGGTTTCAGCATTTGACCTTCTTTTTTCCACAACTTTGATGAGAGATGTCCTGGGGGTCCAGGAATAAGTGCACAGCACTTGTTTTAAAGTGTTTAAATTTGTGGCTCATTAAGAATGGGGAGGTGGTTCTGTTTCCAAAAGAAGATTTTTCTTCCATTTTATTAAGACATTAAACAACTAAAAGGAAAAAAATGATAAACCAATATTTACAGTTAAAACCAGCAACCACTTTCCCCCAGAATTCCTTCATATCAAAGTATTCTGTGTGCATCCACCATTTTGCACTGATTTTCACGAATCATTTTATGTGAATGTTTCCTCCAAATGGACCTGCCCCATGTACCTGTTCTCTAGAAGCCCATGTCACGTGTCATCACATTGCTTAGCCAGTTCCTACTCAGAATGTTTTCATTTCTGTTGTTCTTTTTGTGTTACTAGTATAGATGAGGCTCCCGTGGACATCATTCCTAACTCCTTTTACACCGTGCTTTGCCTCTCCTCTCCATGTTAAAACATAAAGGGTCACCGTAAAGCAATAGGACTTAAAACTCAAACTGAACCAACACACAAATTTAACGATTTGTACCCTTTAAAAGTGATCATCTTAGGAAGCTATGGATATTTTTCAAATAAAGTTTTCGTTTTCTGTTACAGAGAGGACAAAAAAGGAATTTTTCAATGTTCAATTATTATTTTTATTTTATGTGTATATTAATTTTTGCCTGCATGCATGTCTGTGTACCCCATGTGTGTCTGGACTCATGGAGGTCAGAAAAGAGTGTCAGATTCCTGGAGTGGGGTTATAGTGGAGTTACAGACTGTTGTGGGCCACCATGTGGGTGCTTGGAATTGAACCTGGGTCCTCTGAAAGATCAAATGCTCTCAACTACTGAGCTACCTCTCTAGTCCCTTTGGGCACCCTTAGCTATGATACTGTCAGAAAGCAAAAGCATTAGGCCCTGACAATACCATACTGGGTACAGATTCCATGTGACACAAAACTCACTCTAATTTCCATTAGTAGCAGTTACTGTGCTGGACATTCAGAGAGACCCTCAGGACTTGTTTGTCACTCTGAGCCAAAGTGAATGCACCGATCTAGTGTGTCCATTAGAAAGGGAAGTGGTGATGTAGAGATCCTAAACTATTTGTCCTGCAGCAGGAGATACGAACATTGACAAGACTTAATCTTATTTTATTATTCCCTCAAGACAATAGGCTGAACAAGGAATTTAAAAATAAAATAGCAAACTGGCATAATTTCTGAGCAGTCTTTGTTCCCAAAGAAATTTGCTATATACTACATGTTTTACTCAGTAAGTTACATGAATTTTGTCTTCTTAAGAAAGGTAGTGGTATTTCCCAGATTTTTGCCATATAGCAATGAACTATTATTTACTTATTTTCATTTTATTTTATTTTTTTGGTTTTTTATGAGACAGGGTTTCTCTGTATTGTTTTGGAGCTGTCGGTCCAGCCTGGCCTCGAACTCACAGAGATCTGCTTGCCTCTGCCTCCTGAGTGCTTATTTTTCTTTTATAATTCATTATATTTGTTTGTTTTAGAGCAGGCTGCGTTGTGTGGTCCTGGTTGGTGAGAGTATCCTCTTGCCTGTCTCTGAGTGCTGGAATTATGGGTGTTTCCACAACATCCAGCACAGCTTCCTTCTGCTTCTTCTTGATTCACAATCTATTCAGCTTCCTTGCAACCAAAAGCAGAAGAAAATTAATCCATTATTCTGAGTGTGTGTGTGTTGGGGGGGTGGTTTCAGGCCAGGTTTCAGAGAGGGAATCCATGAAGGCACTCTCTGACTTTTGACTAATGTTTAAAATGCAAACCAACTGTAAAAGGCAAGGATTTGCCACCATTTTTGTTGTTTCTAAAGCATGCTCTGTGGGTGGAGGGCTGGGCACACAGTTCTGACTCTGTTCCCTTACAAATTCCAGCAAAATATTGACTAAATCTGTAATGCATATGTTAGTGGAGCCAACTGCTGTTTTGTTTTGTTTTGTTTTTCGAGACAGGGTTTCTCTGTGGCTTTGGAGGCTGTCCTGGAACTAGCTCTTATAGAACAGGTTGGCCTCAAACTCACAGAGATCTGCCTGCCTCTGCCTCCTAAGTGCTGGGATTAAAGGCTTGCACCACCACCACCCAGCTATGCCAACTGCTTTTCCTACCACATACTGTGGATACTGAGGTGGGAGTTCACTGGAACACAGGAGTGGGAGAGCAGCCTGTGAAACAATGAGACATGTTCTCAAAAAGCAACGAAGGGGCTGGAGAGATGGCTCAGAAGTTGAAATCCTTGACTGCTCTTGCAGAGGACCCAAGCTCAGTTCCCGACACCCACATGGTGACTCAGAACCATCTGGAACTCCAGTACAGGGGATCTGACACCTTCTTCTGTCCTCCACAACTCCAGGCACACATGTGGTGCACAGACACACATGAAGTTAAAACATCCATGTACATAAAAGTAAATACATTGTTTAAGTATGGAAGCCAACAAGGGCAATGGAAACACTCAGGAGAGATGAGACGACAGATGAGAAACAGAACAAAAACCTTGTGATCAAGATAGAAAGATGGTAGTCTAGGAGATAGGGGAGCTGACATCTGATTTTGCAGAAGGAAAGTCAAGGAAAACCAAGCTGGCTCTTGACCTACAGCCTAGAAAATACTTGGTGAGTAGAAGCCATGCCTGTAAGGCTGTCTGTGAGCAGTCCCTGTATGAGTCCCTGTGTAGAGCAGTTAAACCCCCAGACAGGAGAGTAGACCGTGGACTCTTCAGTCTGTAGGACAGACAGCAAGTGATCCATTGAGATGATGAAGTAGACTTCGGACTTGGCCATCACCCATTACATAGCTGTGGGTCTAAGATGTAGGTTGGTGGGTACAATGCTGCCTGGTATTCATAGGGCATATTTTCAACCCAAGCATTTAGAAAGAAAAAGGAAAGAAATAGAAAAAAAGAGGAGAGAGGTGAGTCATAAGAAAAAGGCAGATGTTAGATGGGGAAATTAAATAAAAGTCTATATTCTGACTGCAAATCATTCCCCCACTCACTTTCTTTGATGTTGCTGAGACAAGTCCATCCTGAACTATCCTGGAACTCTATGCAGTAGTTCATCTTGGGTACACAGCAATGCCTCTGCCTCAGCCCCACGTGTCCTGGGATTACATGTGACAAGCCCTGGGAATACATGTGAGCCACAAAGCCCCTCACTTTGATCAGCCCTTCCTTGATTTCTGTCTGACACAGTTATCTCCCAGGCAGGAGCCCATGGGATCTGAAGCATGACAAAGACCTGCTGTTGCTAACACCCAGGCCCACAATGAAACAGCATGTTCTGCTCTGTCCCTCTGTGGGCACACCCTGGTTACAGACTGTCCATTCAGCTCCTTGGAGCTTAAGATTGCTTACAGTCAACCAAAGCTCACCAAACAATGAATGGTAACCAATGCCCGAAAGAACAAAACAGAAAATAGGGACTAAACAGCAGTTCTCAACCTGAAGGCTGTGACCCCTTGGGGGGGGTTGCATATCAGATATCCTGCATATCAGATATTTACATTACTATTCATAACAATGGCAAAATTACAGTTATGAAGTAGCAATGAAATAATTTTATGGTTGGGGCGATATGAAGAACTGTATTAAAGTGTCAAAGCATTAGGAAGGTTGAGAACCACTGGAAGAGGAAATGGTACAGCACAAAATAAAAGAGGATTTACAATGAATGCTTCAGAGACGAGAGAAAACATCACATGCATGGAACAAGCAAACGTGCTGTAACCAAGAAATAATTGGAAAACAAGATATAAATTATACATCAGATAGTATTTAGACTGAGATTTGAAACTGGGAGGGAGAGTACCTGGGAATCCCATGAATAAACTTTTTCTGCAAATGGCTTTTTGGTTCCCAATACCCTACAGGTAATCCTAGGTGCTGGAGTTTCTTGTGACGCTACTCCCTCAATCCTATTTTCTACTAGTAGTAAATATTTAAAATATATTTGGGCTACTACATGAGGATGTGAAAGCAAACAGCCTTTGAAAATCTTTGATGAGGTAAATCAAATTGATATCAACTGTGATGCTGAAAGTAGCCTTTAGTACCATTTGTCAAAGAGTAAACAGGACATTGCAGGGCTATATCCGCAGCTGCTGAGGACCTTAGGAGACCATAGATGGGCAGCTATGCTCCATTCATTTTTCGGAGGTACTACCTCAAGGAGTTTTGGCTCAGGGATACAGAGGACCTACCCTCACCTTTGTTGTGGCAGCGAGGATGCTAAGATACAGAGAGGATGGAGGTGGGACAGCCCCTTCTGTCACCCTAGAAGAAAGATACTAAAAGGTCCTTTCTCCACTGTGGAGCTACCTTTCATCTAGCTGGACAATAGCTATGACACAGCATCCATACTCTGTCTGGGTCAGATTTACCTGCACCTCACTAAGACCTGACTCCAACCTACACATAGTATTTAATGGTGTCATGAGTTGCATGGTATGATAGGAAATGACACATAATTTGGGTGCACTGAATCCACGTTCTGGCTTTCTAGTCATCAATAGTTGCAACTGAAACTGCTCTCACTGAAAATTAGATGTAGCCTCAGGTCCTCCGATGCAGACTCCGGACATCACTGATGTTTGATGCTGGCTGCCATCTGGTTGGTGTTGTCTTTTGAGTCAGGTTTATTGTATAAAGCAAGTACATACAGTATTCAACATATTCTAGAGGGTCAAACAAAAGAACTTGGGTATGCTGCACTGATAATACTACACTGCAATTTTAAGCAAGACTTGGAAGTTGCTGTGTGCAAGAACTCAGCCTGATAAGTTAGTCTGAAAAAGAGTAGTAGCCTAGCAAGATCCTGCTGTGTACTGACCCCCAAGGCT